CTTAAATAGATGACAAATTGTATCACGGTTGCCTCTGAGAGATAAGGTTATTAGATTTTTTTTCCTGCTTCTTCCCCCAAATTCTAGTGATTATGTATTATTTGGATAATCAGGGGGGAAAATGAAAACACCCCCCCCCATAGTGCCTGTTCTGTTGTTGCCACGATGTTCACGGAGGAGGGAATTTCTCTTTGCCTCCACGGCTGCTGATGTGACTGTTCCCTTTTACTCCCCACTAGTCCCACCTCACCCCCTCTTTCAGGTCCTTCCACCACAAAGCCAGAAGGTAAATGGATCCATCTGGAAAATCCAAAGAAGCTCCGAGTCCAGCCTCCTGCTGGGGTGAGTGTGGGATTCTGTGGCTGAGACATGGGGGAAGGTGGAGACAGCCCTAGGAGAGTTCTCCTGAACTTTCTGCAGGGCAGAAACAGAACATATGTCATCTCCTTTGCTGAATCATTCCATACTTCTGACTGTGTTATTATTTCAAAATTCTCGGGAACAGAAGTTACCACCAATTCATCTACTTAGGAGCCTCCAGTTCTCTGTCCCCGTTTCTGCTCCCCCAGGATTCTCTCTACAGACTAGAGAAGTGGGGTAGAGATAAAGACAAAGGGGAAGGGGTGCTGCTTCTTTCTGAGGCTGGCAGATAAGAACTTTCTTGTCTTTCCCAGAATATGGCAGAGATCCAGGGTAGGGAGTGGTGAAGCCTAGGCTATTGATTAAACCTTGTTTTGTTATTTGGGTTTAATCTCAACAGCCAGGGACAGGGAAGTTGGAGTCTCCACAAGTACTTCTCTGAATCATCTGCTAATCAGAGTAGACTTGGAGGGTGTAGGAAACCAGGGAGATGGAGGCTGGGATCCCCTGGTATGTGGGCTGCAGGGAGGCAGGAGGTGAGATGACATGGAAATAGCTCAGGGAGGGGTCAGGAGATCAGGATTCAAGTCCAAGCTCTGTTCTGACATTGCTAGGCAGCTTAAGAGTCTCATTGCCCTCTCTGAGTCTTAAGTTTTCCTTTCTGTAACCCAACGAAGTATTGGAGGGTTCTTGTCCTTTTTTAGATCTAAGGGGCCCTCTTTGAGGATATCTTCCTGCTTTAAAAATCAGGATTTTGATATCGACACCCATCAAAGGGAAGATCAGCTCAGACTTCTACTTCCAAAAAACAAATCCTGTCTGTCAAGGAGTCAGATCACCTTTCCAGCCTTACCCTATCGGCTTGGTGCTCCTATCCACTCCCTGTCTGCCTTTTCTCATTCTGCTTCCTCTACCATCCTTTCCATTTTGGGTTAACATCTACTTGTCTTTTCATTCTCAGCGGGGGTCTAATCTCCTCCTCCTGGAATTCTTCCCCAACTCCCTACCCATTATCTGGGTGTACTCTGCAAATATCAGGGACGTGATGCCATTGTTGCCCTGAACAGTTATTGACAGTTTTATGGAGCACTTACTAAGTACCCGGACTGCTATCAGCTCCTTCCCAGCACCATCTAGTTGAATCCTCACCACGTACATGTGATGGAGGTGCTGTCTTGACCCCCCTTTTCCTGGTCAGGACACAGAACCTGAGCGAGGTAAAGGACGGTGCTGAGACTCGAAAATGAACCCAGAGCAGTGGAGCCCCAAAGTCTGTCCTAAGTTGCTGCCTTGTACTCTGCCTATCACAGCCCTGACAGGTGCATGGTGGCTTCCTGTTTAGGGAGATGTGCTAGGCCCTCCCCTGCCCTAAGAACACCAGAGAGAGCCATCTTGCTTCCCTGTGCTCCCACTCCAAGGCAATCCCAGCCCAGAGGGGAGCAGAATCCCAATCTTCCATTTTAGAGTCCATGCCTTTGGGGCTTCATCCTTGCCCCGCAACCTCCCTCACACCTCCCCAACTGCCAGGAGTCCAGAAGGAGTTAGATGAGCCAAGGCCCATCTCAGGGCCTGCTCCAGGTTTCTGCCAGCGTAAGGTCAAGTTTAATCCAGGTGGCCCTCCCAGAAGGCACAAGGGTATAAGTCAAAGCACTATGAAGCCATGCTCAGCCAATGGGCACAAGGTCAATCCCCAGCCTGGTAGCTGATCCACGTGGTGCAGCAGACCTCTCCTGTCTTGCCCGCTACTCCCCTCAGCAGTGTATTTCAGTCAATATGTTCTGCCCCCCACTGTCTTTGGTGGGTCTTCTCACCTTCCCGCACTTCTGGCCTGTACCCCAGCTCTTGTATAAATACATAAATAAATCTTTTTTAAAAAGTTTAAACCAGGTAAAGGGACCTCCAATAAGAGGTTGTGGCCACTCGTGTTAGTGTGCCCAGTCCTGGGCCAGCCCGCCTCAGGATTCAGCTCCACAGTGTCTCACGGCAACCTCTGAGGAAGACAGGGATGTGACTTTTCATTTACAGATGCAGGAAATGGAGACTCAGATGGCATCACAGAGCAAATGGGTAGAGACGGAAATGGTCACAGCATTGCCCAACCTCAAAGCTCTTTTGCTTTCCCAATGTGCCTTTCCTGTTCCGGACAGGACCACGCAAGTGAACATCCCCAGAAATGGAGAATTGTGATTAATTTCTGTGTCTGCAACAGGCCCCCAGCTCCACCCAGGCATCATAAAGCTGTTTGTGAAATTCGGGCTGGGCAAGTCCTGGATGACAGCATTTTCTCCATAACTGTTTATTGGCAGAGGTTAGCAGGACTGGGATTACTATCCCACTTTATAGATGAGGAAGTTGCAGTCTGGGAGTAGAAGAGTTGCCCAAGGTCATTCCTGAGTCAGAGGAAGAACAGGGACTTGAACCAGGACACTCTGGCTCCCTATGAAGAGTAAGAGGAAGAAGGCTGAGGCCATCCTGGTGTCCTGGACTGGGCTGGCAACTTTATGGTCCCAGTAAGTCAAGGGGCATATCAGAGTCCATCCTTGCTCTGATGACCCTAAATTGGGCCATGTCCTCCCCAGGAAGGCTGGGCCCAGGATGGCCTAGACAGCGACAGATGACTAGTTTATAGCAGGCCAGGCCAGGAATCCTGGGCTGGGAGATAAGGCTGGGAATGTTAAAACCAAGAGAGGGCAGCTGCCTTTCTGGTAGCACGAAGGCCAGATTACAGGTAGGGCAGGACAGCTCCCTGGCCTCCCACCTGTGACTAAGATGCACAGGTGGAGGAAGGGTTAACCCTCAGCCTTGACCCCCTTATCATGCCTTGGAGGCACCCTCCACTGGGACCCCCACTCCCCCTTCTCCTTGGCTCCAAAACATACTGTGTGGTGGGAGGTGTGGAGAAGGGTGGGAGAGATTACCCTACCTACACTCTCCTTCCTGGGGTGGCGAGGTGGGGGCACGATGCCACAGACAGACTTTGAAGTGGGCCCAAAGATCAACAGTCCTTTAACCCCATCAAGGGGTTTCCAGGTCTCTCCTTGTTACTGGTCTGGCCTGGGACCCCAGGGACCCTCTGAAGTAGACTTTATTTCCAAGAATAAAGTCTGGCCCTGAGGATATATTTTATAGCCCTGTGAAAATGTGTCCACACCCCAGAAAAGGGCCTGGAGTATGGCATCTCCCTCCCCTCCGGGCCGGCTGATCCCCTCAGTCCCAGGCTGATGATTAAATTCCAAAACAGTGCAGACAATAGGGCCCTAAGCTTGGGGTGGGGGCCCCCTCCCCTCCTGCCTGCCTCTCTGTGGGATCAAAGTTGTTCCATGAGGCTGTGTGATCCTGGGCCAGGAGGGGGGCCGGGGGAGTCAGCCGGACTGTGAGCCAGGAGGAAGCCCCTTTGCCCGGGTCATTCTGGGGAAGGTGCTCTCTTCAGAGGTCCTCAGCCTAGGTTCAAAGGCTAGTGGTGGCTGAGAGGTTGGCAGCGGATGGGGAAGAGGCTAGCCCAGAAAACCGGGCTTCCTGTTGATAGAGGGGGCCTAAGCCCGATGCCTGATTGCCTGCCATTCTCCCGGACCCCATCTGAGCTTTCCAAATGCTTCCAGAAGCCCCAGAAGCCCTCCCCCCCATATGCGCTGCTCAGACTCTGCCTCTGCTCAAGAGGAAGAGGCAGCACCCCTCCTCTTGACACCAGGCAGCTTCCTCTCCTCTGGGGAGGGGTCCCCAAGTCCCATTTTGCCAAATGCTATGGCCCTTTTCAAGGGAAGTCTCCTTTCTTTAGATTTCCCTTGAGCTCTTGGGGTTCGGGTTCGTTGAGACCCCTGGACCTGTGAAGGGAGGGCTCCCAGGACTCAGCCCCTGCCTTCTGACCCCACCAGATTCTTCCTCCCTGAGCGCTTTGCGATCTGTTGCACATTTCCCAGTACTGCTCCCTCAGCACCTCCATCCCTGTCCTCACCATCTCATAAATACACCACAACACATCAGGGGTATCTTCACTGGGGGCTGGGAAAAGGGGCCTTTGGTCTGCTTGGAAATTAAGTCTGAAGCAAGGATGAAACCCACAGAATCTATGCCCACTGCCTGCAAAAGACAAGCATTCCTCCTTTTGGGGGTCGCCCGGACAAAGCCAAGGCCAGCCAGCATTATCCCGCCAAGGCTATCCCGTGCCGGCCCACCCACAGCCCAAGCCCTTTCCAAAAGCCCAGAAGGCTGCGGCCGTGGCCGACACCAAAGGACTGAAGTCAGAAATGGGGGGCCCACCTGGTGTGAGTCAAGTACTTCGCCAAGTAGCCAGCCCGTTCCCAAAGAGATCAGGTGTGTGATGGGGGTGGGGGGCGAGGAGAGGAAAAAGGAAGGGCGCAGCCTGGGAGCCGAGAGAACGCCCAGTGGGTGAGGCAGCCCCCGTTGCACAGGGCAAAAGCTGTCCCCGCAGGAGGTAGGGAGTGGAAGGAGGGAGGCCAGGATTTCAGATCGGGACGGCGCCAGGGGAGGGGAGGCTCCGCCGAGGGGTGGAGCCGCTACTCGCGTCCCCGTGTCAGGGCTCCTCACGTCGCGGCTCCGCTATAAAACCCAGGCGGACATGATCGCAGCACCCCCGGCGGCCTCCGCGGAGCGCGACCCCCAGCTTGGTGGCGTCTTCGCTCCTGCGCAGGATGCAGCTGCTGCTGGCGCTGCTGGCCCTCGCCGCCGCCCGGCCGGCGGCCCGCGCAGGTGAATACCCGGCTTCCACCCGCTGGCCCTAGGTGCCTCCCTCTGCGCCCCCAACCCCGAGGCGTCTGCCGCGCGGCGACCACCCTCGCGGGCT